TGACCGTGCAAGTCGAGCGGAATATATTAGTGCGTAACCATTGATCACCGCGACTAGGGGACATCAAACACGAGCGGCGAGTGATGAGTAGATGTCCCGTGTCACCTTGTGTATGTGTAGCATCAGCCTCCCCTGTGTCGTCTTCTTCGGTGGAGTCATACGCCGGTAGCTGGTCGGCACATGTATCGTCCATCAGCAATCCCCGAGGTCTCTGTTTGGGACATGCTGTTTGACGATGACCTCTTTCTCCGCAGTTAAAACAATGAAGCGCATCTGGATGCGAGGAGCGGCGAAGCTGTATCTCGTCGAGTAGAGCTGTAGTGCGATCAGAATTGCTCAATGGTGTAGTGTTTTCGCGTTGCACACCTGTTGTGACAGTCGAAGGATGATCCGTTAGACGTGTCCGAGCAGCAGAGTTGGTCCATGGCGATGATCGAAGCTGTTGTTCGAATGTTGCAGCTCGACGATGTGCTTCAGCGATTGTTGTGGGATCAAATTGTGCGATTGCGTTCTGTATCTGGGAGCGTAATCCACCAATTAAACGGGAGACAAGTTGAATTTCGCTGTCATATAGCTCATTACAAGTCAAGAGCTGCGAAAATTCCTCCGCATAATCTTCAACGCTACGATTACCTTGGCGAAGGTTTTGTAAGCGATTGTACATTGCGATCGTAATTGTGTGGAAGGAATGTCTTGTGTAGGTGTTTTTTGATTTTCTCCCAAGAGAGGATCGGCTCCTTGCCCGTACGAGTGCGTGTGGATTTCAGCTGTTTCCACCATGATGCTGCATGTCCCCGAAAACGCATCGCAACTAGTGGAGCTCGACGATCATATGGGACTTGTTTGAAATTCATGACTTCTTCCACAGAAACTATCCAATCGAGAAATTCATCACCGCAAATTCCCCCATTAAAGTCGGGGATATCGACTTTGAATCCATTCTCCCATCTGTTGTCACTACCATCACCGTCGTTGTGATGTGCAGGTCAACGAACACGACGGTGGTGTTCATTCTCCTCATCTTCGGCATCATCAAAGCGATCTGCGAATGGATTACCGTCGGCCCGATAAGCGCCATGGGTCACTAGCATCTCTCCCATCTCTTCAATAGATGCGTGAATGGTGGATTGAATATTCTCCTGCATCGCTAGGAGTGTTGTACGAAATTCAGTCCAATCAATCATAGGAACTCCTTGATTAGCACCACCGGCAGCAGCTTGTTTTTTTGGTGGCATGGCGAGGAGTTACAGAAGCAGGAACGTTCCGATTCTGATACCAACTGATAGAGAGCGGAAGCTACGTAACAAAGGTCGGAGCTCGCACTTAAAGGAGGACTCGCAAACAACCTTGGTTCTTGACTCAAGTGAATAGATCGGAAGAGACAAGGGGTGAAGAGTACTCCTCTTAGTGCTTATAAAAGCTCTTGGTTTATTGAAAGTTCAAATCAAAGGTGTCCTTTACAAAGCTCTTAGAACATCCTTTTATAGTAGCGAGAGATTAGGTTAAATCTCTAAATCCTAATCAACAAAAGATTCATAATTATCCTAAAAGTAATAGAAAATCAAACCCTAAACATAAATAATAGAGTAATAGCAAACACAGAAAAGCCCTTTAGCGTGTCTGAACAAAGCCCAACGTAAGTAATAGCAAATACAGAAAAGCTAGTACTAGCAAACACGGAAGAGCTAGCAATAGCAAATATGGAAGAGCTCCTTTAGCGTGTTTGAACAAAGCTCAATATAACTGATAGATGCGCTGCATCATGTACCAATCTATTGTAGATGCACACACAGACAATAATCGAAATAGCACCCAAGACAAAAATTTGCTTATCATTCATGGCTTCTTCCATATCTCTCTAGTATCTTTTTTGGATCAGATGTCTCGTTTTCTATTTGTTTTGTGTTTTTGGATAAAGTTTGCAGCTAAAAAAAGTGATAAACTACTTAAACAAAAATTATAGATAAATAAGGGGTTCCAGAAAGTGAAAAAGGGGTTTTCATCAAACAAGGATCTTTCTGCATTCGAATTCGGATCCATCTGGAGAAGAAGATGATGAAAAGGCGAGACAAGTTTTCTTCTTTTTTACCTTCTTCTGATAAGGGTTCAGAATAGCTTATCCTTCGATTCTGAACGGTTCAGAAATCATTTGTTCTTCTTCTGAAGGGTTCAGAATTGCTTATCCTTCTATTCTGAAGGGTTCATTAATCCTTAATCCTACTTCTGAAGGGTTTAGAGTCGCTTATCCTTCTATTTCTATTGCCACGAGAACAACAACAAACCTACAAAGAATTTCAAAGTAGGAAATGTTAAAAAAAAAATTAGGCCTTAAACTCCTAACATGCAAAACCCTAAGATCAATCAGCATATTATCATATACAATTAGCATATATCATCCCCGTTTTCATCTACAAAATTTGCTGGGACAACCAAAAAGTGTTCATTTTACGAGATAGCCCTTTGAAGTCGCGTGTAAAAGACACGTGTCTTGTATATGACGGGGGTACTATAGAGAAAGTAAACCAAAAAGTCGCGTTAAAAATTCTGAGGGGTAAAATCTGGTGCTATTTAATTTGATAATTTCCGCCTAAAATATTAAAAATCGGATTTCTTCTTGCACAGTCGTCACTTAGGTCACGCCACCAAAGTAGCGAATCCGAAAGCGAAAAATATGGATGATGCAGTGGAGATTGTGGATGTGGACGAGGAAGATAAGAAGGAGTGCGAGGACTGGTGCTTCGTCTGCAAAGATGGCGGAAGCCTGATTATATGTGACTACAAGCAAGTCTTTCTCTCTGTCTCTTTAGATTTTCATGCCTCGCTAATGGGTTTGGCACTTAGTTAAACCTGAGGAAACGTAACGAAACTCTGATAATCGAAATCAATCATTATACTGCTCTCTCAGGTCGTCAGATTCATCTCCTCCAATTTTTTTCTAAAATGTTTAGCAATCTCAAAGTCAGTCAACATGTCAGGGGAAGAGAACTGCTTTTAATTCCTTTGACTTATTAATCAATAATTGAATTTCACTTATTAATCAACATAATTCCTTTGACAGTTGATTTGTGAACAGAATCTGTGACATAGTTAGAGTAAAAAAATTAAGGGACAAAAAAGTTTTTTACTGAAGAGTTTTGGGCCGAAAACCCCGAAAAAAGAAAATAAGAGAAACTAGGGTTCGAGTATTGTTAAGTGTAACACAGTGTAATAACACTTCCCGCCCATTGCAAAAACTCATGATTATAGTTAGGGCTGTTCAATCTGGTAAAACCGAACCGAACCGAATATAACCGAAAAATATGACATGTGGTTGGAATTCGGATATACTATATTAACCGTATGGATGTAATAATTTCAAAACCGTAGGATAGGATATGATTTGGATATAAACCGAATTAACCAATTAAACCGATTAATTTAAAAGTATAATATAATAATATATACTATATTAAGTATATGTAAATTATGTAATTACAAAAACTCTACTTGATTATTATTATTTATAAATTGATAGAATTTTATATAAATTCGGAGAAAGCAACTTAGAAATTTTTTTGGTGGATGGCGAATTTTGCTTTCATTCAAATTTTTTAGTTTTCATTTTAAGTTTATTAATTTATTTTTTTAATGATGTTAAATACAAAAACTTTACTGGTTTTTTCATCTTTATTTTTATCTGTTTTTTATTTTTCTTTTAAAATAAGACATTGACTTTATAACTTTATATGTTCTATATTATCTATTGGTTATTATTTCATATTATAACAGACAAAGTTTTTGGTTTTTGGTTAAAAACCGAAAACCGAAGGTATCAAAACCGAATCAAACCAAAATAGATATGGTTTAAATATGGTAGCTATTTTTTTACTAACCGAAAAACCAAAAAAACTAAACTGAAACCAAACCGATATCCAGATTGCATAGGCCTAATTATAGTGAAGAAAACTTCATTTTTTATTATTGTTTTTTTGTCACGAATTTTTTTTATTAATAATTTTGACGTGTGCATGTTCATTTGAGAATATTACAACTATAGGTACTTATTAAGTTTGCAATTACATCTAAAGATACTTTAAGAGGATGGCGGACTTTAAAAATGTGAAAAGACAACGACACCCTTACAATAAGGATTCTCTCACTTTAACCAAACACTTCGCACATCACAACTTACTCCATCTTCGTTACTTCAATAACCCTAACATCGGATACGAAAATAGCAGTGGCCTCTCCACATCTCACTACTCCGTTCTACTCAGATCTGCAACCCCGCCGTCACCGAATTAGCCAATAAATACTGAAGAAACCCTTATGTCATCGGCGAACCGACTACACTCTCAATGTCGACATCTCGACGAAGGAGCCACCGCAACAAGGCTGGTTAGTAAATCTATAGTCTCGAATCTCAGACTCCGTTATGATTGCCTCTTCGTATTTCTCCTTCTATATCTCTTATACGTAGATCTAACCAGATATCGATGCTCTAATCTATGCATGCAGAAGGAGACCCGATTCGCGGACCAGACGAGCGTCTCCCTAATCGGCTCTTCACCACCGACCGGTACCCCAAAATCCGGCTGAATGTCTACTCAAAGCCCGATATTCTCACGTTTGTTCAACACATACTGAGGGACACATCAGAGCTAGAGAGAATCCAAAATTCTTGGTTTGACAAATTATTCGAAATACCCGTGGCCAGAGCTCCTGTCTCTTGTCAACTCATCAACTCCCTCATGTCCAGACAACTTCTGTCCAAAAATAACTACGAGATGTGGACGGTTTTTGGTGGACATCCACTTCGTTTTTCACTCTCTGAATTTGGCGCTGTGACCGGTTAGCACTGCGGTGAATTCCCGGAGGACTACGTCCCCGTCGTCATGCCACCCAAACAGAGCGACAGGAAGAAAGGCAAGTGTCGCGACGAATGCTGGGAAGAGTTCATTGGCGACGATGCTTCCACAACCTGTGGGGACATATCGAAAATGCTCCAGGAAGATCCAGATATGCCCGCGGAAAGTAGGCTGCCTCTCTGTCTCATTCTAATCGTCGACTGCGTTATAATGGCCAATCAGCAGGTACACGTGCCGACTCCTAGATATGTGACGATGTTGACAGACATAGATAAATTTCTCAACTTCTCATGGGGGCGGGAGTCCTTTCTAAAGACTATAGCTTATATGCGTCCGGAGAAAAGAACGCCTGACTCTGTCACGACCCTGTTGTACTATTCTGCAACACCCTGCAGCAAGTCTCATATCATCTAATTGGGTTCCCGCTAGCCCTGCAGCTTCTCGCATTGGATGCAATACCAGCCCTATCAGCTAGGCTCCCGGTAGTTAACTCTGACGACCAGACGATTGCTGAGCTAGTATGGCCTGGCCTCCCGTCTTACGGCTCACTAACTCTCAGAGCAGTGCTAGCTGCAGAGTGGGATCCCGAGGTAATAATGCATCTCCCGGTATGCAGACATCTATATTTTGGTTCATTTAATTCTAATTCCATCCTACCCATCTCTATGTTCTATCTCAGCTTGCTGTTCAGCCAACAATAGATGTGGTCAGCCCAGACAACAAGGATGGATGAGCCGAATGGGATGACGAGTGTGTGGACAGGAAGGTCAAGTACATGGAAGAGCTTCTGTCGGAATCACACGTTTTCACGAAAGCGGATTGGCCTGGTGGCAACAACACTCTGCCGATCATAGTCTACAAATGCAGTGCGTCAGCAGCACCGCATAAGAAACAAATTATCAACCGCAAGCTTGTTAAGCGCACACCGCAAACCGGGCCGCAAACATCTGCTGCACCCACGAGGACATCATCTCGGAAACTTCCTCGTGTCGCCAATTCAGCTGATGCAGCCCCTCCCCCGAACAGCCAAGGAAACACACAGTGGCTGACGTCGCAGGTACAGCTTCTGTCTGTCCAGTACAAGAAGTTGTCCGATCGTACATCTCGTCTTGAGAAGAAATCTTGTGGAAAGAGAACTACTCCTTTTGGGAAGTTCTCCACACAAAGAAGTATGTCGAAATGCCGAAGGCTAGGAAAACATCCACTCCCGACTGAGACCACGACAGCTCCTGGACCTAGAGCCCCACCCCCGGGTTATAAGCCTAAAAGATGGCGAAGGGACGCCTGCGCCCTGGGATCAGCCTGCTTCATCCGATGAATCGGAACCAGACATCCGCACCCCCGTCCACGAGGTTAGCCATTAACTGCACCCCCACTCACCAGTCTAAATATCAATGGTCACACACACATAGTCTCCGAACTAACAACCTAATTGATCGCAGGCAAGGGCAGATGGTTCGGACAACCTGTGGTCAGATGACGGTGGTTAAGGTCACGTGGATACAAATTCATTCGTAAGTGCACACTATCATTTGCATATAACAATACATGGAGACTCTCTTTGTTTCCTTTTCTCACCCCTCTCCATTATTCTAATTTTTCGTAGTCGCCTTTTCTAAACCAACAGGGTACCATAGACTCCGGACGCGATGTATGTATTATATACTCACACCACCTCTTCCCTAACCAATGTTGTTCCCATAACACCTCACAATTTCGTTTTTCAGGTTTCCTCCGACCAAGCGGATGTTATCATCTCAAACATTGTAGAAGAATTTTTATCGCGAGTGCTCACCTCCTAAGGTAATTATACACGGTCAGCACTATCCTTCACACAATGGGCGCCCTACAGAGCTAATGTTTCCCTCTTGCAGACTATCTATGAAGATCCCAACCATCTGGACGTCAACACACTTACTGCACAACACTCTGTGCAGCCCGGTCATTCGGCTGTGGATGACAACCCCCTCGCCATTGTCCCCTACGTCAATGTCCGTGTCTCGCCTATTCACATGCTCCAACGCACCCACACGGATGACCTACCGGGCCCCGTACTATTACATCCTGACCAGGTTCTCATGGTTAACTCCAGGGGAATCATAACAGACATGTCTGCTCAATCCGAAGGAGATTTTGTCAACATCGCCATGGGCGCACATACTATTTCCGACGAGAGAGTACGTGTTTATTCCCTTCTCCTTCTGAACCCATAAATCGTCCATCGCATTATCTACCAACTTAACGCAGCCATCCGTTGGCGGATATCAGAACCTACATAACAATCTACAAATTTTCATCCACGGCGAGTTATCACAGGGTCCACTGTCTGGCGGTCAGAAACTCATGAACGATCCATCAAACAAGGTAATATTTCAAACACTGTCTCGCCATGCCTTTACTTGTCGATTGTGTGGTGGCGAACTTAACCCCACATCTCGGCGCATGTACCACTAAAGACAATCGACCCACGTAGTCCCGCCCATCATACTCTCACTGTTGAATCTGAATCAACCTTCGATGGAGAGTGCGCTTTACTCCAGGTAGTTATTCTATCCCTTCTCCATCCGCCAAGGGATATTGTATTTGGCATTTTGCGTTTCCACAACTGAAAAACGCTTTCCATGCCACAACACCTACGAACGCCGCCTCGGCAATCCCTTCTTAATGGAAGCCGCCTGAACATTCAAGATGTGATCCCACCAGAACAGCAGGCTCACAACATTGCATCCCACTCCATCCCAGCTGACTTGGAATGTCTCAGTGACTCCTCCCCACCACCACAACCTGAAAAACATATCCCCTCACCCCTAGAGATTCAGCTGGCTTCTATGTTCAAGAAACAATCGTCTAGAAGACCTTCACTGTTCTTTTCACCCGTGGACAAGGCATAGTGGATTTGTTCCAGAAAACTCTTTCCGCCAACCCCACACTGTAAGCTACACCGACATCCACCACCGTCCCATGTTTCTCTTCTCCAATAGTCTATTTACTTTTGTTTCTCTTGTCGCAGCCAACACAACACAAACACAAACTTTGACTTCGTTAACAAATTCTTCCTTGCACTAGCCAAAAGCCGAGGATGGGTGGACACTAAGGTTCGCGGATCACATACCCCTGTTACAAACTCTTCCATCATTTTACCTTCATGTATTCTAATGAACATTTTTCACCTTGCAGCACATAGAGGTTCTTATGTGGAGTCTAGGAAAGAAACACTCCCTCGTCGTCCACCAAGAGCAAGCTGATTTTGTCTCCCCATGGCTTCTAAGCCACCTTGAAGCCAAGTCTCGGAGTTTTAAAAAAGCAATCAACAAGGACCTACACCGTTTTGATGACCAACTGTGGCAATTCGTCCTCGCACCGAGAAGATCGTGGCTACTTGACGTTCAGACTATCTACGCCCCAATGAACTTACAAGACAGGCACTGGGTCGGCTTGGCCATACATCTCCAAACAAAACTCATCCAGGTTTTCGATTCCAATCCAGCACTTATAAATGACAGGGATCTCGATGCGCTTCTCCAGCCAATTGCAGAGATGCTTCTGCACATAATCAGCAAGTTCTGCACAGCCCAGCCTTTCCAGCGATTTAAACTATAACCTTTCAAGTGGGAGCGCCAGCAGGGCTACTACACCAACTTCCAGGGCGGAGATTGCGGACCAGTGGCTGCAAAATTCATGGAGTTGCATGTCAACACCGTCTCAGATCAGCGACTGTGGTGCTTCACGGACAAGATGGTCGACGATTTCCGCAAGCAATGGGCGATGGACATTTACAAAGATGTTGTTATCCCGCTTTACTTTCCGCCGCCGCAGTAGCTGTTCTGATGACTCCGCCTTTTTTGTACAGAGCATCCGATGAATGGCCCAACTTCAAAACTATAATCTTCTTTTTGGTTTGGTAACACTAGGTAGGGTAGATGCTGACGATAGCTCCCCCATTCGGTACTCTGTGTATTCCCGACTCGCATCTATGCACGATATATAAGGTATATGATGTTCTCATCACCAACACTACCCGCCCATGTACTATAAAACTATCCACCACAAAAGTAGACCATTTCGCTCTGTATTCAAACGTCTATGTATTTCATATCTACTGCTTCACATTCCCTGTCATTCGTTTTTATAGGTAACTGTACAATATTATCCTATAAATTCATCTTGTAACTCATACCAACGTTCAACGCGCCCTTACAAAATATCCATACATATGCATCCATTTCAAGGTTCCATAACAAAGCATCCATTAAAACAATCCATACAATTCCATCCATTTATACATGCCATACAAAATACATCAACATAAACGCCCTCCGGATCAAACGGCCGAGCTTCCACAGCTAGAGCCCAAAAAATATCTTCCCCAACACCCACCAAATAACCCACATACAACACACAAATTCCAAACATTAATATACTACACATCCATCACCACCTGATCATCCACAGCTCAATTATTCGCATACACCACAAATCTCCATCCACATGTAATCACTGGGCATTTACTGGAAACTAAGCAAATTTGGGACGACATTACACCCCCGTCAAATGAACACCAAACAACGATAACGAGTCCACAAGTCATTTGCCTGTCACACCAACATTCAACCACCCTGCTATACACACCCCACTTATTTCCTCCACGAGACACTAACCGCCAATCACCGTCCATCCCCTATTATGTCGACGCTGTCATACATGCCATACAAATGCATCCATTAATATGACTCATACAAGATACATCCATTAAACGCGCCCTTACCAAACATCCATACATATGCATCCATTTCAAAGTTCCATAACAAAGAATCCATTAAGACAATCCATACAATTCCATCCATTTATACATGCTATACAAAATACATCCACATAAAAGTCCCCCGGATCAAACGGCCGAGCTTCCACAGCCAGAGCCCAAAAACAATCTTCCCCAACAATCACCAACTAACCCACATACAACACACAGATTCCAAACATTAATATACTACACATCCATCACCACCCGACCATCCACAACTCAATTCATCGCATACACCATTCTTAGCAAAGCCTCCTTCTCCTTCGTCACTTTCAAGGCCGCTTTGCAACTACCTAACACCGTCACGTCCGCATCAGACACGCCCGTAGACTCATCGCCGCCCTCCACACGGGCTTCACGTAGGAGTTGCTTAATCATAACCCGGATAAACGCCTTTAACTGCTTAATCTCTACTGCCTGCCTCTGGATCTGTTCCCTCGCCTCCAATAAACTCTGCTTCTGCCAACCGTGGGGCTTTTCATCGTCTGCCCAGCAGTTAAATCCATGTCTCCCGCAAGAGTAGTACATCTTCCTAGGGTTGTCATATGTCCACGACTTCGTTAACAATATAACCCTGTTACAGTAACACAACGGTCCCTCCATTTGGCTCTGCTTTCGGCTAAAAGAACTCGAACCCGACCCAAAACTCGGCGCTGTGGAAATCATCTTGCTAATTCCCCACCTCCGGACTAGACCTTCTCCCAAGTTTGTTAAACTAACCCGAGATCGCCTATTTATATACTCTTACTTCCTTTGCTCGTTAGGTTAAACCCATTTGACTCAGGCCCACACGAAATCCCAAAACCATCACTTCGGCCCAAAACAAAATCCTACCTCATAGTAAAGGCCTGTCCATTCTGGGTTGTCAAAACTTAAGCATCTAATCCAGCTACGTATGAATACACCTTCATCCACCTAATTCAAACCATGATTTAGTAACCACAACAACCTGTCCACCACAAAGAATTAACAAGGTCCAATATCCCTGTACAAGACATCTCAACCACGTTACTAGTCAAATTCTATAGTCTCTCCTCAACAAACCACTGGATAAAACACAATATCGTTTTCTCCCCAACAGATAAATTAAAACACATTATCAAATTACATCATCCAATAAATTTCCTTCGTCACAATCACAAACACTTCACACAGCTCTTACAAATGTAACTGCAATGCTACCACAAAAAAAGACACGCCCCAACAACATCATCAACAAACACCAAACATCCGGTTACTACATTTAACCCAAAAAATGAAACCCCCATGGTCAACTACGTATCCACACGAAATACGTTCATTTGGATCCGCAGCCCACCACATTCACTTTGGTTGTGAACAACTTGTCCTATTGTGCCCTGGCTGTCCACAACGGCCACACTTATTAGGGTTCTCTTTCTTAACCCTTTGTCACCTGCAGACATAATCAACATTAGCACCACATTTGCCAAAAGACTAAGTAATGAACACTTCACTACACTTACTGGTATTTCCCCCACCGATGGGTAACGGGACTCCCTACGCCTTCCTGCCTTCCTCCTTGTATTCGGTGGCGCGAGAACAACCGCACTAACCTCCATAGGAATATCATAATCCCCGGACTCCTCTGCTGGTAGTATGACACCCATGTACGTCTCCGCCCACGTACTTGGTTTAAAAACATATCCCACCAGCGTTTTGTAGGGCAATCCAAACATATCCGCAGCCATCAAAGCGTGTCCACAAGGAATCTTTAACTTGTCATACACCCTACAAGAGGATTTTCTATCTTGAAGGAAAACCATATGCTTCCTCCCAAATTGCCCTACCACCTCACAGCTCCAGTTCGTAACCACGTTAACTTTACTGTCCTTACAATTATTAAGACTTTCCGTCATTACCTTGTCCACCTCCGGCGGCACACCGCCGCGATGCCTAAGTGATTTGTTTCTCCTAGCATTGAACCACGGGGTCATCAACCCCTGGATGAACTTCAACAGCTCTATTATCGGTGATGCTCTACCCTCCCTCAAAGCGTTGTTAAGCTGCTCAGTGGCATTGCTTGTCATGATTTTGTACCTATCGCTAGGAAAATGAGCTCTCGTCCAATGAGCTATACCGATTGTCTCCAGATACTTAGTGCATAGCCCATTTGTGGCTCGTATTTTCCAGAAAACCTCCCTGAACCCCTCAACTTGAAACGCAAAAGCGGCACTAACTACCATCTTCGCGAGACCTTTGTTCTTGAACCTTGAATTCACGTTCCTAGCTAGATGCACAATACATGCCGCATGGTGCGCCTTGGGGTACACCCTACGCTTAGCCGCATAAATACAAGCAGTCCTATCATAGACGATGGTCAATGTTGAACTATCCGCCAATATACGCTCAAGTTTACAAAGAAATCATGTCCACGCATCCTCGTTCTCACTGTCCACCATATAGTTTGCTAATGGGAAAACCTGAAAATTTGCGTCCTGTCCACTTGCCGTCAGCAATACGCCTTTGTACTTTCCTGTCAGATGTGTGCCGTCCAGCACAATTAAGTGTATAAGCCTCCGAAACCCCGTGATCGATGCTCCAAACGACAGGAACAGATATAGGAATCTATTTATGCCAAATTCATCTTTCTCTGTCTCCAAATCAGCCACCGTACCTGGGTTTGCAAGCTTAAGCATATGCAAGTAGAGAGCCAACCCGCTGTAAGACGCATCGTTAGATCCTCTTACATTGTCAACGGTTTTACCCATCGCCCTATAACACTTTATATACAAAGCCGACACCCGCAAATCCTCCAGGACCAGTCGCTGCAGTTCCACCGCTCTTGGACCTTTTTCAGGATCCCCATATCTAGCCTTAAACACAGCCGCAATTACTCGCGATGACACTTTCTTCTTCACCACATTTCATGTGTCTATGTCACAAGTGTGGGTCAGCTGGGCCTTTTTTATCTCGTAATACATGCAGTCCTTAAACTCCCTCGCCAAAACCCGCTAGTCATAATTATCGGTTGTACAAGTAAGCACAAAGTAATGTCTTTTCGTAGTCATCTCACGGTAATTTGTCACCTGTTTTATAGCGTAAATAGCTAACGCTATCTGGCAGTTTCGTTTGCTCGCGTAAACCTTGCCCTCGTAAACCATGCCACAATCGCTTTCCAAATCCAGGTCCGGTATGTCTGCACTTTCGTATTTTGTGTCGTCAAACAATGGTGCAATGTCGAATTCCTCGTCATCAATCATATCCAGTTTCTGAGTCTCATCCATGTTTCCTTGTCCACCATGACCAAACGAATCGTCAAAACGAATATTTTTATCCACCCTTCCGTATCCACCAACGCTGTCCATATCTGCTACCCCTCGTCCAGCTGATTTATATCCATCACCTCCTGCTACACCAACATCGTCCGCCCTTTCATCGCCGGGTTTGCCTCCCTCTGATGCCACACCAAACCGGGAACCCCCTATCCCACCACCTACCGCTTCATGCTCCTTAGCCCCGCCTCCGACGCATCCCTCAGTCTTCCAAGGGCTATTGTCGTTCGTCTCATCCCCAGTCAACACACTGTGGTCGAATGCGCTATTAGTCTGGCAGAATATAACCTCCGACGATCCGGTCCTACGGCGTTTACCTCTTCCACAAGAGGACATATGAACTCAACCGCATTAGAACCTCCATCCCCATCGTCGATTAAAGGCTCCCAGAATTCATTGTCGTACACCATCGGGAGGACGTTGACGTCATCATCCATCCTCTGCTCCTTATCGTTGGACTCATATTCAAAGACTTCAGTTGTACGGTCCCCGTCTTCGGTCGCAGATCTCTCCCTCCTAAAGCGTTCTTCAGTCATCTCCACGTGACTCAAAATCTCTTCATCATCCACCTCCAATGGGCAGGACTTAGACCCAGCGGAGGACCCGTATCCACCGTAAATAGAGGAAATTGGCACATCTCTCAAAGGGGTTCGGGACTCCTTGAATACACATTTGCGTTTCCCCCTCGCCGCGGGAGGAGTATACCCTTCTCCCTTATCTACAGTCTTAGTTCCACTACCCGCCTCACCATCCATACCGAAGCTAACAAACAAATTCAGACCTTCTTTTATGCGGAAGTGTTTGCAGAAATACACTATGGCGCCTGTGTTGTTAACCATCACTGGAGACGTCGTTATCCCTATTGCCAACTCAGAGCTGTTCGGTGGCCAGTAACTCAGAGACAAGCTCCTCCCAAATCCCATGTTACCAAAAAACTCTGTCAGCACATTCTCTTTCAACTCATTGAGACCCATCCCCTCTCTGAACGCAACAACCCTCGACATATACTTCGTGTCTATCACAAACTCCCACTTTCGGCTATCAGAGCATCTCCAATCACCAGAAATCACCAAACAGTGCCCTTCCATTGTCTCAGGATTTACGTTTTCCCTTAATAGCCGCCGAGCAGCTAACCACCTCTCTAACCTAGATTAAACATTCCCAACACCAGATTTTATACACAGCAACCCCAGACTTTGCGTCCCATCCACAACCAATAGCTTTGCATTTATTATTGGCCCATTTTGTGCACAAGTACACACCCGCACTACTTCTTGAACACTGCTTTTCATCCATAAGCCTCCTCAACCAAATCACAAAAATAAACTTATAAATACGCCGCGGACAACAACGCATGGACAACAAGTCCGAAACAAAAGCTCTGCGCAGATTAAATGTAACATTAAAGATCTGTCACCCCGCCTACTCTAAAACGCCGCTCCGGCAGGTCTACCCAAAACCCAGCAAGCGTCCCAACTGCACCAAACATCCGATCCACATACCTCGAATTGTTTCGGTTGCAGTCACAACGATTACACCCATCAGATTTTCTCTATGCTACCGAAAGCTCCAGTAGAAGTAAACTTCTTTGACAATCATAACCAAATCGACAATCTTGATAATTAAACATACAACGACAACTCCGCAACAACATGCCAACTCCTATAGTTGCAACCAATCCAACCACCATATTCGATTAATACCACACAGAAGACGCTTTCGGTGGCCGACAACAGGGTCCGCGCAACCGCATAATATTTCGAAGTACCGCCATACATTTACACAAACAATTTCATTAAGGGTATTTTGGGAAATGTCAAAACTCAACTCCGTTGAAAATAAAATGGAAGTCACTCGGTAGCTAAAAGTACTTTTGGTTGTAAAGTTAAACTCCAAAGTACCTCTATGTGTAAATCACTTGTGTTCATTTACTCATAATAATCATGACAACCAAATTCTCGAGACAAAAAAAAATTCAAATCAAGTTAATTAAGTTACCAGTAAGTGTGCAAGTTACTAGTACGTGTGCAACTGAGTTTTCATTTACTCATAATAATCATTCTCGAGACAGAAACCAAACATCAAATCAAGTTAATTAACAATAATCTATTTTTCTAATAATAATTATTCTCGAGACAAAAAACAAACATCAAATCAAGTTAATTAACAACAATATTTTTTTCTATTTTTCTCTGTCTATCTGAGCGCCTTCATTGCGAAGTGATTGATGCTCTTTATTGCGAAGAAGAAAGTGGGTCTGTTGTAGATGAAGAAGAATTTCTGAATCTAGTTTCAATGGAAGAAAAAGAGACAAATCTGAATCTTAAAATCGCAGATGGGTTTCTGTGTTCTCTTAGAGAAGAAGCTTTCACTTGGATTTTGAGGGTTAAATCTCATTACGGGTTTTCTTCGTTGACTAAAGTTTAAGAGAAGAAGCTTTCGCTCTTCTTACTGTAAACTACTTCGATAGGTTTATCGCACGCCTAAAGTTTAAGACAGATAATAAACCATGGACCATTTGCTTCATTCCCGAACATAAAGATACATCGGTTTCTTACATCAAAACTAAGGAAAATAACCAAGATAGAAATATTGCACCATCTACCCAACTGGCCAACTGTTGATTGTTTGACTTTTACACAACAAAAAGCTTCAGCGTGTACAAAAACTAGTTGAAAACTAGTGCATTCGATAAAAATATGAAAGAGTGGGTTCACCACAAAAAGCTTCAACATGTACAAGATACCTCAGAGGCAACTCCCCAGTATCATTAAACACCTTTTCTGACAACTTGTTGTATGCTTCTTTCAACTTCTCATCTTCAAGCTTCTGGAACATTTTCTTGAATTTCATGGCCGTTCTTCTCAGAAACAACGATAGCTTTCTCAACCTTCTTTCTATGCATTTGACCTAATATTGAAATAATGGATTCGTGATCATAAGCTTCACGCCTTATAAGTAGCCTCAGACACACCTCGCCAATTTGATTATACATCTGTCGTTCCATCAGGCAACACAGTTGATTCAATCTAACATCTTCAAACTTCTTGTAGTATTCCTTAAATTTGAGGGTTGCTGCTATCAATTGGGGAATAGCCTCCTCCCTACACAAGAACAATAAGTCATCTTATTTCTTTCATTTCACAGAATCTCAAGAACTCACCAAGGCCCTTCAGTACCATACCACACGGTTTTCAAACAGATCAAGACAAGATCCTAGCTAAATTGGTAAAAGAACACCTACTCTTAAATTTTAGAAAAGAGTAGATTTGGAAACAGATCAAGACAAGATCCCAGGTTTTGCGCCACAGGGACAAGCCTCTACCTCCAATGCCTTTGATTCTGACATTAATGAGATACTCTATCAGATTCTCCAAGGTCAGGCCACTATCACTATGGAGATGGCCAAGAAGTTTGCAGAAGTCCACAACAAGATGGACAGCCAATACACGCTCTCTTCCAAGTTTGAGGATCTGGACTCTAGAGTCAAAAATTTGGAGAACAACAAGGGCATCGCTTCTAGGTCCAAGCAACAGGGCCATCTTCCTGAAAAACCTGAGGCTTATCCAAGGGAATACTGCAGTGTACTCTCTAGTGAACTTCTCCCTTGCAATGTCAATTCTAGTGCTGAACTTACTGAGTGGGATAGTCTTCTTTCTGATGATGATACTCCTCTACTTCCTTCCTCTACCAAGACAGTAGTCCTCAATAAGGACACTGAGATTTTAAGTGTGGGAGAGAAGCCAAATATGTTGGCTAAGGAGAAACCAGAGCTCTACACACCATACAAGCCTGTTCTCCCATTTTCAGGGAGGTCTAAGCAACAAATCTTTGCCAAGCAGACAGCTCAATTCCTAGAAGCCATGGAAAAAGCTGAAAGGACTTTTGATCAGGTGCCTGCAGATTTGTTGACCTTCAAAAGAGAGCTTCTAGCTAATCAGGAGAAGAAAGCTAGTAAAGATAAGGTGTAACCACCATTAGCTGCCCCAATCAACCCTGAAGAGATCATCACTACCAAGAAGCTGGGAGATCCAGAATGCTTTACCCTGACTTAACCTTAGGAGGTTCCACATTCACGAACTGTTTGTGTGATCTAGGAGCTAGCATAAACCTGATGCCTCTCTCTACAGACAAGAGTATGGGTTACACAAGCTTCAAAGAGAATGATATTTCTCTTATCTTAGCTGATGGGACAAGGAGGAACCCTGATGGTCTTCTGGTTGATTTGCCCATCATGATTGAAGGAGTAAAGGTACCAACAGACTTTGTGGTGCTTGGTATCGATAATTCTGTAAATAATATCATCATTTTGGGAAGGCCTCTTTTAGCCTCAGCTGGAGCATTGATAGATGTTCAGAGGAGTCTTAATGAGCTAAGGTTGGGAAAGGACAAGATCCTCATGTTTGATGCTAAGGGATTAAAGCATATGTCCAGCAAAGAGGAACAAGTTTACTCAATTGAGTTCAAAAGAGGAAGCTTGAAGGTTGATGACTTGCTTCTCCTTAATGAATATGATTGATAGAGCTTTGATGGGAAGTGCTTATCTGATCTGTATATGGAGCATCAGACAACACCAAAGGAGGAACAAGTTAAGGAGACTCCAAGGAAGGTCAAAACTGGTGATCTTAAGTTGAACTTTCATTCCAAGGAGTTAAGCTTGAAGCTGGTGAGCTCAACAGATGATGGACTGGTGTACAAGGTCAAGATCAAGGGCACACCTCAACCTTTTTCCTTTGTCAAGGTTCTCCACACCACACAAAGATCAGGAAGGAGTTCCACAACTCCTCATTTCTCCAACTAGAAGAAAAGGGTGGAACATCAAGCTAAGTAATGTAAAACAAGCACACTTGGGAGGTAATCCCATGTTATCCCTTGTAAATATTTGTTTTTATTATTACTTTTTCTGTTTTAGTTTTGAGTGAATCAGGCTTGCTTACTTGAAAGTCATGGGAGATCAAGGAAGAAGGAAGAAGAATCCCACTTAATTGCACTTGGGTGTGCACCAACATCATCACCCCGGTGTTAGACAAGGCAGGGGATTTTGGAGACTTGCACTGGGGTGTGCACCGGGATGATCACCTTGGTGGGAAGCAGCCCGCAGAATTTTGACTTCACACCAGGCACTCACACCGGGACTATGACCTCCGTGGAAGTCAGGCCGAAAGTTTGATGGTTCACACCGGGCACTCACACCGGCTTACACTGCTCGGTACGACCTCTCCCAGGTAATTCAACGTTTCCCTAAGACGCGTTGACCCCAGTTTTCTCCTTGCCCCTACCTTTAAATCCTGAAACTTTTTTATTTTGTCTATTCTTCTATCATTTATTTCTCCATAACTCTCTTAATACTTAATCAAATCTTGTGATTCAAAGCTCTTTCAACTCAGATCAACGTGCTCTAGCTGATTTTTAATTTATTTCTAGTCTTTCATTACTCCAAAATCCAAGGTATGTCTCTGAAATCTCAGATTTTCTCCCTGATACTTTTGTTAGGACTTGGAATTGGAATGCATGTTGATTGGGGATTGATTACTGAGTGTTTGTATAGTGATTATGATTGCTTGTGATGCATTTTAGTGGTGAAAGTATGATTTTTTAGCAAGATTTTGTTCTTGGTGAATAGTGAGTCCGAAATTTGAAATTACTCACTAGAAACTTGTTAGATTTTGATGCTTCCAATTCCATTAGGTTCCTATCACCTAGCTGAATCATATTGGAATGATGAATCACAGCTTTAATCACTTTGTGGATTTTTGATTTTGACCAGATTTTTTTTAAAAAAAATTGGCTATTGAGATTGTGATAATTGGTTAGCTTAGTCTTTATTTTATGTTTGCTGCTTTCTTGGCTTGTTTTGTGGCAAATAGAGACAGCATATACAAGATAATTCTTGCTTTAAAGGGTTCTGCACTGTACTCACTATCTTGTAAGTGTGTTTTCTCTTGTAAATCATGAGTGCAAAGGAGAGAACCACAAGAGAAAAGAATACAACAACAAAAGCAAGTGCTGTTAAGAAAGGAAAGAAGCTAGCGCTTCATGATAGTAGCTCTGATTCAGAAGGCTAGCATGAGTCAATAGCTAATCATAG